GCTGCTTCAGGAAGATATTGATAGGTTGGAATGTTGGTGTAGGAGCAACAATATGGTTTTAAATGGTGATAAATGCTGTCATATTCATTTTACTCGTAAACATAGTGAGTTACCGGGAGTATATACTGTATCAGGAAAATGTATTCGGGAGGTTGAATCCGTCCGAGACCTCGGTGTCATTCTTGATAAGCAATTAAATTTTAAGGAACACTACGACCACATTGTTAATAAGTCATTAAAATGCGTTGGATTTGTTATCAGAAATACCAAATTCTTTAAAAACAAATCGAGTGTAATAAGGTTATACGAGAGTCTAGTCAGATCGCTTTTAGAGTACTGTTGCGTCGTTTGGCACCCGTATTATGAGGTCCACTCCAATAAAATCGAACGCGTCCAGAAGAGGTTCTTGTACCACTTATCATACAAATTTAATTTGTGTAAAAGCCTTAAAAGCTATTCGGACCGGTTAAGACATTTTAATCTTATATCTCTTAAAAATCGCCGCAAAATTTTAAATCTTTCGTTCCTTCACAGTTTAGTCAACGGCAACTTAAATTGTCCTCAATTGCTTCAAAAAGTTAATTTTACAATTTCTCATAATCTTCCGCGCCTCTCTAGATACTCATTATTTAAACCAAAGCGCTCCAAGACGAACCTAGGCTCATTTTCCCCTATTAACAGGCTCCTTACTGATTATAATAATATCAGTAAAAATCGTGAAATTGACATATTCCATCTAAGTTTACCTGCATTAAAAAAAAAATTACGTATAATGTTCAAATAGATTCTTAGTATTAACTTTTTCTTGTAATAAACCTTTATTTAAATTATAATATTTAAGCTAAGGGATGCCCTACGCTCCCGACTCCCATTGTATACGCTTGCCGTGGCAACCTGTAATTGAGGTCGCACCAACTCTTTTATAACAAATGTGTAACTTTTAGCTTTTAAGGTGTATGATCTTGTTGGTTGTCCAAATAAATAAATAAATAAATAAATGTATACAACAAAAAATAGCGTTAATAATTAATTATTGATATATATTTAAAAAAAATACATAATTTTAGTTTTACATACCTTGTTCTACAACGTCCATAACTAAAACTTGCTTTATCCCAATTAAACTAAATGTAAAATTTATTTTTAACAACTTAGTTGACTCACTCTCACTGCGCATTAAATACGTACAATCAGACTTTCGTTACAAAGACGACTGACTGTGCACCGAATGTTAGTGAGAACAAAAGAGAGATAATGGTACATTGTCGTCCTACCCTTTCCGCTTTCCAAGGAGCGGAAACTACCTGCATATCGGTACTTTGCAATATTCGACTTATAATCGACTTTTTGGGTTAAATACTCCTATGTGCGGCACGGGAAACAGTGCCGACCCTACTCAAGCAGGACCACTGCGGAAGGCCACACTGATCCTACTCCACTAAAACCCCCCGGTACCCTCCTACGCCCATATGGGGGCGTCTCAGGATCGACGCACCTTAGCGTGCGCCACTTCACTGGGACTAGTTTTAAAACACCTATGTTATGTACGAGTAAATTGCAACATTTACATTTGAAATGTCAACAAATTCTATGCAGGTATTCAAAACATAGTTTTTAAGAGATAAACAATGTTTTTTTTATTTACTTATCTTACGTAATGTTTTGCATAATATACCATATCATTAAAATTCCAACAATTTAAGTGGTACGTACACCATCATATGCATAATTTTCTACACAAATATTCTAAACAGGCATCTTGCTGGAATTTTAAAACCAATTTAAATATAAATGAGTTATTATTATGTCTATGGTTTTGGACAACTTAAAAAAGTGGTTACCTTAGATTAAAAGTGGTTATACTTAATTGTCTTTTGATTAAAATCTGCTCCGTTTGGAGTGTTTATTGTATCATTAAAAACTGGAATCAATCAAAATATTTTGTAGATTTTTGAGATAAAATGTTTTATTTTTGTAGTGAAGAGGCTTGGCACTTATATTCCTTGTATACCTACTATGTAACCACATTATCATTATCCGTGCAATCACTATACCAACAACGAATTATTAATTAATTAATTAGCAATTAATATTCATGAGATAAGTATATTCAATTAATCATTGTCGATACGAAACATAGCAGGTGTATATAGATTTATAGAATGAGGTATGAGTTCTGTATGACCGTCGCCTAATTAAGCCCCGTCAATGAAACATTAATTACACGTCTTGTATTTTATTTTATATTTCTTACAACTTATTATTTTTACCTTAATAACAATTACATTTTATTGCAGCCGTGAAGATGTCAGCTATAAATAGAATCAATTTTTTATAAAAATAATTATACTCTTACTAATGTATATTTAAGAAAAAGAAGCCTATAATAACATATGGTTTATACGTATGTGCCGAACTTACAACGTACTATAGGTGTCGATTTTGGCATGATACTCTAAAGCTAAACTTAAATTTGACAACAGTGTATCTCTGTAATTCTCTATACGGACTGAAAAGGACAGACTGATGTCAAATTTAGTTTTAAGTTTAGAGAATCCTGCCAGAATCGACACCAATGTCACTTTCAAAGCCTACCTGCATTCCTAATTTTGTTAAATTAGAAACAAGAAGTAACTATTATTTTTATACTTTTCAGATAAATAAACATAATAAAAAAGTGTGCGTAGTTGTGACCGAAACCTATATTTATTGACGTGACAACGTCTTAAATTAGGTTGCGGCTGGGAGTCACTTATGAAAAAGTGTAACGCTCGGTAACGTTACGATGAGTCTCTCGTGTTAAGTTTAAGTTTACATGTACAATGTTTTAGTAAACAAAATATATTTCTATAGTTAAAATTTGTGCAATTCTTATTTTCATTCAATTCCTTGTTCCTATTGTGCAATTTAATTATATTCATATCAATAAATATTCTACCGAGAAAAAGACGTTGTCACGTAAAATCTTCGCCCGTAAAACCGACTTTACAGGCAACCATTTTTTTTTATTCTTCTATTCTTTATTCGCTTTGAGGTACAATAAACAGTATTAAACAACATTATACTTAAATATTGCTCTGATCTTTGGTTTACAACGGAGTTGTGTTTTCTCAATCACTCTGACTTATAAACAGTGCGACAGTGGCCGACTAAGGTAAGGGAGAGAGGGGTGGCGAATCGCGCGTGACGTGTGGCGGCGTTTTATATCGGCGTATTAAGTGGCCGGTGCGGGCCACAAGAAGCGAGCAACGACGATTTGTAGCGTATGGCGGCCACCGGCGTACCGTGTGTGGCGAGTCCATAAAAAAATATGAAAATTACAAAAAATATGCCGGTGGCGGCGTTTTGTGGTTGTGGTCGGTGGCCCGTGTGCGGCGACACTAAGAGAGGCGTCAACTCCCAAACAGTCTGACGTCGGTTGACTCGCTGACAGCTAGCTGTCTACTTATTTATGTTGCGGAGTCGGAAGGTTCATTTTCTATATTGTACTAAATAATTTATTACGAGCGTTTGTGTCTCTTACGAGTAGCAATGACGCATGGCCACCCTTTTCATGGTATGGCGCCAGTCTATACATATAAATATTAATAGAGTCCCAAAAATAGTACCTACCTATTGATAAATTTATTAAGTTACTTTGTTTAACAATGTGCTAATATACTTCAAACCATAAATAAATATAATTTAGTGATATAAATGCAATGCATGTTTCTCTATGAGTACAAATTATGTAGGTATTTAGAATTCATCTAATGTTATCGCTAGGTCATCAAGGCTTTGCGGTACTAAGAATGTAAGTATATAATATACATCGAAACGTGGTTAGCTTTAACAATATTATCTACCTGCCAGATAAACAGCTATGAGATTACTTTGACACTCAAATTCGTGGCTATAAGCCAAACTATAACTCAAACACGAAGCTGTTCGTATTTGCTGGACATTAAATACATTTATTTATTTATTAAGAATAACTTCAGCTATTGTAGAATATAAAATTACACAGGACCAAAGCATAATTGGATCCGGCCAAAAATGTTGTTTCTTATTGGATAGTAATAATATTTAAGCCAATATAAGATGTATGAAAATAACACAATAATATTTAAGAAAGATATTACATGAAAAGGTAGTGTGTTTAAACAAAACATTATATTACTAATTACATAAAAAACTACGGTTTTATTGCTTTGCGTTTTCAAAGGTCAGAGACAAAGTAATAATTAAATATCCATACGGTTTTCAAACGATCGGAGCTGTCGTAAGCTTGGTCGTTAGGCAGAGGTGAGAGATATCTAACCATTACATCGGTAAATCTTCAGAACAATGTCCTCTAGCAATACGTGAGAGAAATCTTTTTTTTTATAACTACTAATTAAAAAAACGAGTGGAGCCTTAGTGTCGCCGCACACGGGCCAATGGCCACAACCACCGGAATATTTCTTGTAGTTTTCATGCATTTTATATAGACTCGCCGCACATGGTACGCCGCCGCCGGTGGCCGCCACACCCTACAAATCGTCGTTGCTCGCTTCTTGTGACCCGCACCGGCCACTCAATGCGCCGATACAAAACGCCGCCACACGTCACTCGCGCGATTCCCCACCCCTCTCTCCCTCACCTTAGTGTAGCCATCGACGGCAAGTGTCGACCACAGGCCACAAGTGGCTGTCGCGCGCTTCAGTCACTTTAGTAGCCGCTTCTAGCTTCTCGTGGTTGTGGCGTGTGGCCCGTGTGCAGCGACACTTACAATAGTCGCGTATGATGTGTAACATTTGAAACCTCACCTTATATTAGTAAAAAAAGAAATAAAACCTACTACAAAAGGAATAAGCCATTTGAACACTATGGTCAAAAACCAAATCAAAAAGCGCGCCCTTTCCCGACTTCCTGTTACACACTTCCGTTTTCACGAAATCACTCCCACAAATTGTAGGAAAGCGAGAGAAAAGACGTTACACATCAAAAAATGGTGGGTTACAAAAGTTTTTACTCGTTACCTCGAAAGATAGTGTGTCTGCTTGTGCATCGATCAGCTTAGCACTCCATCTGTGGTTGTCCGTGACGGCGTCTCGGCTCAGGAATACGGACCCTTGTGTATCCATTGACAGTTTGTCACCTGCAACCAAGTCTTTTTTACACGTCTGCCCAAAAAGAGACTGTAAATAAATAGTTTTTATTTACACTCATGTCGAAATATTCGAATAAGAAAATATAGATGGTTTTGTAAAGACCTAGTTCATAAACGAACATACTGCAGTACTGCAAGCTGTATCGTAATAGTTATTTTCAACATTTGCTCAAAAATGCATTTACTAAGGTTGTACAATAATGTGTGCAAAAATTCGTGCGTAATGAATTTTCACTGCACGCTCAGCCGTACTGCCGTCCTCAAGCTAAAACGCGGCTAAATAACAAAACCAACTTTTGAGATATGGCCAAAAACGGCGTGTAAAATTTAAATTATTGCTATTTTGTAACCATTCATCATATGACAGATTTTAAGACATAAACTAAAAATGATACGAATACTTGTTAAAGACAGATCGATAGAGAATTAAAAACTGTATAAGGTGCAATTTAAGACTAAAAAATCGACTACATGTCACTTAGCCGCACTTTAGTTTGAGTATGGCAGCTTATGGCCCGTAATTTCGAATTTTCGAACAATGTATACACGGCACGGTGCGTATTCATTGCGTTTTTTTTTTTAAATTTCGATCGAACTTTTTGAAATCGCTTTTAGTCTATACCTACCTATGTCCTCTTTATTATTAAAAATAAAAAGTGACTAAAGATGTAGTTCTAATTTTCACCACCCGCACGTGGCTCCATTTGGAAATTATTTTCTTATCAGAACGTTTTTTGACGTTCGACCCTATATAAAAGCCTCACCCTTCACATGATGCAAGGCCTTATGTCATTCTGCCGCACTCGAATAAATCCAAAAATCCCCGATTAGGCTCCATACTTCTAGGGACGCTGTGTGTCCCAGCAATGAAGACATTAATACGCTGAATATAATTCTGTAGTTACGTAAAGCTATTGATCCCTCCTTTTTTACAGTCGCTAGCAGCAACCAATCCGCATTGATCATGATACCTTGTGGTCTTGGCCTGTTCTGCTTATCCCTGTGCACAAACATTAATAAGCTGAAGATAATGATGATGAAAAAAAGTCACAAACCTATTGTGAAGATCAGCTGTACCATATCAATGGACTCATCATATTCTCTAGTGAAACGCACTACTCCGTTGAAGGGCTGCCCACGGCGAACAATGGTTGTAGTCGGGTTCTCTTCGTTAACTGCCTCATATCTAAGGAGAATGACAATTGTAAGCATTAGGAATTCAGATTTTTTTTTATAGATAGGTCCGACAAATGACTCCACCCCACCTGATGTTAAGTGAAGGTGAAGTCCAGACGCGAAGATAGCTGATACAGCAGTTCTACCTAACACACCAGCCATCCTCACCCTGCCGGCCTGCATGTTGCTTCTTCACGCCTCTTTTAAAGGATCCCAGGTTGTAAGAGGGAGGGAACACGTGAGCGGGCAGAGCATTCCATTTACGGATAGTGCGACAAAGAAATGAGTCACCAAATTTCTCTGTACGTGTTGGAATTGTGGCCACAGTTAGACAGTTAACACTGTATGAGTTTTTCCGAGTCGAGTAAGTTACCATTGTAAACATCAGAAATTCAGAATTTTAATTAAATGGGCTTTTTCCGAGTCAAGTAAGTTACCATTGTAAACATCAGAAATTCCGAATTTTAAGTGAACGGGGTTTACCGAGTCGATTAAATTACCCTTGTAAACATCAGAAATTCAGAACCCTAAATGTATGGGTTTTTTCAGAGTTGAGTAAGTCACACTTATGCAGTTTGTTATAAAAAAAAATCGCCAAATTTTGCATTAGGGCAGTAATATTGGTATAATAAAAAAGTAAGGAATGGAATAGAGAAAAAGTAGAATTTCAAAAAAGGGCATAAAATAAGGAGGTAAAAATTATAGACTTACTTCACTGTATTGTGCGTCTGAGCATTTTCCTTCGGGTAAAAGTATACTACGTCCACTTGCAGGGGTTCCATTCTGTGAACTGGTCTGAAAAGAAACGAATTAATGTTTTAAATATATTTACAAGATAATTTAGAGCGGATGCGAGCTGAGAAACATTTTAGAAATAGGCATTTGAAAATAATATTGCTGTCGCACATTGACAAATACCGTGCGAAAATATGACAACAGTACCCCTAGCACGAACCAATATCGAATAGTTTGCAAACCGAATTGTCCATGTCAAATTTTGTACGGAAACTTGAACAACAGCGCCACTTTGGACGTAACGGGAACTAAAAATCAGTATACATTTGACAATGACATTTCGGACTCGCAAACATTACGAATTCGATTTTGGTTCGTGCTAGGGGTACAGTAGCTAACGCTGAAAATTGCGTATAAAAATTGCAAAATTCGAAGTTTGGCTCACGGCGAATTCCTCTTCGAGAATTAGATGTATGTAAAATAAATTTTACTCATAGAATAATACGTAGTTACACTAGGCCTCTATGTTTTGCTTTTTTTGTAAATGCTAATTTAATCTCCACACTAGGTATCTTTAGTGATGATTTTTATTTTTGGCATTTTCAAGTGCTTTTTCAAGTTTCTTTAAAACACAAGTTATCGAAAATAGGAAGACATAGTGGCATAGAATGAGTAAAATTATATTTTGTGTATGAAAAGCTTTTTTTTAGTGACAAAAATCAATTAGGACTTAGTCGAGCCTCGCCTCCTCTTTTAAAAAAAACATGGTTGCCTACAATATAGTTAGAATATTGTAGGTAGCCTTTTTGCCTCCAAAAAAGAATTTGCGGGGGTTAAAATAGATAGTGAATTGTTGTATGATATACTTATTTATTTTACGTAGAGAACAACAGGTTTCAACATGGTGTGAATAAAACTAGTTTTAACGGGTTAATGCACGAAACTTTATTTATTTATTGACGTTTCGCACCCTTATGACGATGCAGACCTGAAAAGGCTGCATAACGTCAATAAATAAATAAAGTTTCGTGCATTAACCCGTTAAAACTAGTTTTATTTAAAACCTAAGAAACAAAAACATTATGGTTAATGTTATGGAGTTAATGAGTGAGTGAGCGTGTTAATAAGTTTATCATACTTAAAATTTAGCTTCAAAAGTTTTACTGATACAAATAAAATAACATGTGATCTGTTTAAGAATACTCGTCGATGATCAACCAAATTTGGCAACACATCAAAAATTAACATAGGTGTACAGGCCGAACAACATAGTCAAAGGGCAAACATTGTTTTATTTATGATGGCAAGTCATCATCTAAAATAGGTTCATAGGTTCGTTGGTATCTTTATCTGTCCGTGATTAGCAATGTTGTGTTCTGTGGATCACCACGGAAGAGAAAAGTGCCAATCGACTTCAATCATGGTACTTATATGAAGTTAATTTTACTAGAAAAATTCCACACGGACCAGGCAGCAGATGGGTCTCGAACCTGCACCCTTCGCTATCCGGGCGAATGCACTGACAATTATGCTACCGCAGCCCTGTCGTAGCCGTGTCTTAAGCTGCAAAGCAGCGCCATTTCTTCGCATTGTAGGCAACCCACAATGTCAAATGAACAACCTTTACAAGTATTAAACATTTGAAAGAAGAAATAGCAATGAACTTTAGATTTAAACATCTAGCAGTTAAATGCTTAAAAAGTAAAATTATAACTATACCAAGTTTTTTTTTCGCCTTATAGACTGTTAAGTTTCTCAGGTCGTATTGATCCGGAAACGGCTGACGATAAACTGACGACAAATTCGTCATACGTGTTTTTTTGATGCTAAAGTAGGGATATAATATAGCTACTAACTTATATAAAAAAAATGTGAATATTCTTTTGATTGGATCATGACTGGCTGACTGGCAATGATTGGGCTTGTATAGCTGCTTCTTGAAATTTATGAGAAATTCTTAGAGACATACGGAGAATTTGCATAGGATATTGTAGCCGAATGAAAATAAAACATACTGGAACACTATTTAAGGCGAGAGTCGCTGGTCTTTATCAAGGGGATCTACCCCTGATTAACTTACCTGCGACTCTCGTTGTAAACTGTTTTGCCAACACTGTGGTTGTTTTTTTTATATTAGGCGTGTAGAGTGTAAGTGGAGTTCAGACCCAATGGCGAATATAGATGATGCGGCAGAAAATGTGCCGCTCCAGGCATGCCGGCCTTAACCCAATACTCTACCCTGTAGGGCACTGGAACCTAACTCACAAGTAAAAAACACAACACCAACAAAAGGTAGTTTTATTTTACTGTGATCTTCTGTAATAGTAGGGGAGCCCAAGCGGGGATTTTTGAATTTAATCGAGCGCGGCAGAATAACATATGGGGAGCAACCTACTCCCACTATACCTGAGCCATCTATGTAGGGCCGAACGTCTAGGGCAGCAATAACAAAATATCAACGAATGACCATGACTTTTCGTCGGGTCCAAATCGTCAGCCTTTTAATAGGAACTACTGGAGGGTTCACGTAACATCCCTTCTCAATATCTGACGCGCTCGGTTATTTTTTCCTATATTCTACCCCTTTGTACGGCCACTCCCATATCATGCAAACCGCGGCAGATCAATATTTTTTCCGTTCTTAGAAACGTTACATGAACCCTCTAGTAGCTTATATTCAAAAGACTGACGATTTCAGTCAAAAAAGAAAGTCATGACCGTTCGTTGAAAATTTGTTTTTGCTGCCCTAGACGTTCGGCCCTACATAGAGGGCTCAGGTATGGTGGGAGTACTTAACTAGGTGCAAGGTTGCTCCCCATATGTTATTCTGCCGCGCTCGAGTACATCCAAAAATCCCCGCTTGGGCTCCCCTACTATAAGGTGAAGTTTACTTCCCCAGACAGGTGCTGCAATTCGAGCGCAAAATCGCTCTGCCGCACTTCTCTTATATGCTCCTACTGAGTGTACGTGCATATCACTGCATGATACTACAGTAATATGAATCATTCTGACGTGTAGGTGTAGTTGTGACGCCGTAAAGTATGTGACGTCAAATTGATAATCATTGTTATATTAATAACGCGAATGCACTTGTTCGTGAGCCCGAATACAATTGCCAATGGAATTCGGGTAAACGACTAAGTGTAAATGATCGGAGTCGAGTACGCCCGTATGCGGGACGATTTTCTTTTATTTACCGGACACCGTCTTTCAGCCCGATTTCCTGTGTAAATATTGCTTCGGGTGCCCGAATTCGAGTAATGTTTTTTGTGCACCCGAATACGGGCTAACGACCAAATGTAATGAGGGCTATCGCGTATGAATCCGCCGCTAGAGGCGCTAGTGTAGCGTGAGGTCTCCGAAATTTCAAATGTTATTGCTTGTTGGTTGACTACGCAGGTTTATTTTAATTAAAATAATGTTGTGAATAATTGGTAACAATTCGGCTTAATTATGGCAAATATGAGTTATGTGGCAATGAATGTCAGTTATTAAAAATTTGAGCTTAGAAAAATGATTATGTTCCCATTTTTTCCGAATAAAATGGAACTGCGCGTCACTGTGGCATGGCCTATTATGTTTAGGATATGGTTCTTTTGTGTTAAAATACGATCTAAATGTAACCTTTGATTTCATGTGCGTATTAATAAACTTTAAAAGTTACAATTTAGGACCTCACTCAACAGTGGCGCCATCTGGTGAGGCAGAAAACGGTAGCCCTCATTGCGGCTTGAGTGTAAATGAACAGAGTCGAGTACGCCCATATTCGGGGAGGTTTTTGGTTTGGTTACCCGACACCGTCTTCCAGTCCGTATTCCAGTGTAAATATTGCTTCGGGTGCCCGAATTCGAGTTGTCTTTCGTGCACCCGAATACGAGCTAACGTACAAGCATAATTGAGCCATAATTAACAATGACAGCATCTGAGGAGTGCTATTGGCGCCATTTTTTTTCTTTAATTTCTATTTTGGATGTGTAGCTAAGTATTTACCACTTAATACAAAATGGAGGAATATACCTATGAGAGACAAATCTACGTGGAATTGATTTTACTCTGCGCAAGCAATGCACTGGTTGTTCTATGTTAATTAATATTATGTACTCATGTAAACTGTTAACTATCTATCTTAGTAATTTTTAAAGCAAATAACTGCTAGATATATATAATATATAAAATTCTCGTGTCGCGGTGTTTGTGGTTAAACTCCTCCGAAACGGATCGACCGATTTTCGTGAAATTTTTTGTGCATATTGGGTAGGTCTGAGAATCGGATGTAATCTATTTTTCATCCCCCTAAATGTTAAGGGTACCCCCCCCCCCCATTTTTTTTTTAATTTTAGATATATTTTTTTTAATTTTTTTATGATATATTATATACAAAAATACATACAACCCCAAATTTTCACCCTTCTACCACCAACCCCTATTTTTTTATGGCGGTACGAAGTTCGCTGGGACAGCTAGTAATATAGAAAATTATATTAGAAAAAAATCCACGCGGACCAGGTAGTAGACGGGACTCGAACCCGCACCCTTCGCTAACCGGGCGAATGCACTGACCTACCTGTTAACTATCTGTCAGCTAGTCTTACTATAAAACTTTTATTTTTTTTGTTATAACACTTTATAAATAGGTATACGCGTCTTCCTAGCTAAAGAGTATTTTTTAAGTACTTACATGTCATGTAAGGCCGTATACAGAAATAATAATAATAATATGTAATAATAAGATTTATTGACCAAAAAATTCAGTACAGTAAGATTACGTAACAAACTTAGCACTAGTTATACAGAAAGTATAATTTATTAGCCTCTGCTGCTGAACTAGGCAATGCCTGTATATCAGCATTCAGCGCCATAAACCCCCACAGACATGAGAATACTAAACTAGACTAAATACAAATCTCATAAATGAAAAGATCAATAGGTAGCAATTCATTTTAAAAGCAAGGCATCTATGAGTATAATATTCAAATTAATATGTAATGTATGAAATGATGTGTATGTGTGTGTGTATGTGTGTGTATGTGTGTGTATGTGTGTGTGTGTGTATATATGTG